GCGTAATACAATACGAATCATTATGCGTATGTTTTTACACTCGTTTTGCGGGACCTTAGCAACAGTGTTCAAGGGGCGGGGCTTAGCGGATGTCCATTGTGTTTCTTTTATGGTTTTGTTATTAATAATGATAATAATTTCATTCAACCACCTTTGAATATATATGTCTATGACTGTATAATTCATGTATATATTTTATGTATTGTATCATGTGATGGCGAGATTTCCTTTAGTGGAATAATAAAGTTTATCTTATCTCAACTTATTTTATCTTATCTATAGTAGTAATTAGTAATCCAGCCACTTACCTGTCAGAGAAATTTCCAAATATAAGAGACCCAACCAGTGCACCAATATAATCTAACGAGATTACTAGAGGCACTAAATACGCATCTTCACAAACCAAATCAAACTGAAAAAAAGAAATGTTTTAAAAACATAGAATTTCTATACGATTCAAACATTGTTTATGTATTTTCGATTCGCAATGTAGCGCATTTGATTTCATACATGCTGCAGCTAACCGCTTGATAGGACACCTAGTTTTGAGATGTGTAGGCCTACTGCTTATCTGTGTTTATTTAACAGTTTCTTTGCTGAAAGTAATATTACAGTTTGTTGATAAAACATATATCTTTTATCCTGTATAGTTTACGTGTGACTTGACAAAAGTAGTTCAAAATGTTTTCCTCTAGGTATAGTATTTAGCTCAAGACTATGTATAGACAAATAAGATATGTTGGGACAATTTTGCAGTTTTCCCAACAGTTAAATGCTTTTGCTAACGCAATTGTAGCCTAATGGCATGGTCGGTTGTATTGTTTATTGTGTTTTTCAGTTTTCTTTATTGTATATTTTTGTTTAAAACATGTATTGTCTTATTTATCATTTATAATGTTGTGACAAACAGAATGATCGTTCGTTTTTGGTTCTCTCAGACTATTTTCCTAACTATACTTACTATAGTTGGATTATTATATTAATATAATAACATCTATTATATAATAGATTATTGTAAAACAAAAATACAACTGATGAAAAATGGATAAAACAAAGCTATATAATTTCAACTGCCACCATATTTCTAAAGTATAAATATTATTCACGAATTCATCACGAGTACCGCTTCAAAATCAGGATTTGATCACACAGGTTGGTTAGTACCGAACGCATTTCACGGCTTGCGAATGCGTGACCACGTTAACCACAGGTTTATGGAATGCGGTATTCGCATGCAGCCGATACTTGACACTTTCATTTAAATGACCTTTTAAGAAAGTAGTTTGTTAATGGTATTGAATCAATTTGTGTTTCTTATTTTTTATTCACATACATTTGTTCTCTACTCTACTCCCTCTTTTGAACTTAATGACTTTTTGAAAAGTTTTACTAAGCCATTCTAAACTTTGTAGGCACTTTGGGGTAATTTACTGGGGCCACTTTACCCGACATATTTACCAGGACCAGTGAACATTGTAATTGTTACTTACCTCCTGTGTTACAGACGTTTTATATTGAGTAGTATCGTACTCGTACCCACTGTTACAGCTATGAATGGATACATTTCTCAAAGATGCATTGATACTAAAATTGTAGTCGGTGAAATTATATTGATTGCAATGCCCTTCGTTTAACGTAGTGCTACTCTGGTCTGTTGGTCGGTAATCGTTTTTCAGTAAAATACATTCAACTTCTGTTAAATTTAGATCTAAACACCGTTCATCTAACTGGTCAACTTGACACCAAAAATCTGTTTCAGGGAACAGAAATACAACCGCTAGAGAATTCCAAGCATTTGACATCACGCATAAACTGACGATTATATAGGAAAAGAAAAAATATTGATTACATTGTCCGATATGTTTGAAAATGTCGTCAAAGTGTATATCACGTTCGCTTTCCATCGCAGTAGTTTTACATTACATTCCGGTTGAAGGCGTTTTACCAGGTTTGTAACTCAAGTAATCTGGATTAAATCAAATAATATAGATAGAGGAATAAAGAACGGGCAGCGAGCTCAAAATCTTGTAATCAACCGAATTGCATGATGGGAGGCCAGTGGAGTAGGGCGCTGCGTATCGGCGGTGTGTATAAAAAACTTGTCTAGTGTGGTTAGGCATAGGACACTATAAAGAGTTCGACCTTATTAGGTATTTATTAACTATTCTAGGTCTATCTATTCTCGTACGTATAGCTTAGACCTTGGATAGGACAGGCTAGGCCCCTAGCTTTCAAATAAAAAAGGAATATTACAGTGTACACTACAGTTGTTAGGTGTGAACTAGATCTAAAGTACTTGATTGAGGTCCACTTCTACAAGGTCTAGACATGCCTAGGCGAGTATACTTTTGTTAGTTAAACCAGGGAGATGGTTAAACTAGGCCTATTGATTATTTAATTATTATCAATTATATCTTAATGATGATTATTATTATTATTATTATTATTATTATTATTATTATTATTATTATTATCATGAACATAATATTATTAATTATTACTATTATTATAACAACTAGGACCATTAATAATTGTAATTTTATTATTATTATTATAATTATTATTATTATTATAATTATTATTATTATTATTATTATTATTATTATTATTATTATTATTATTAATAACATTTAATATTTTTCCAACCTGGTTAGGTTCAATCTTTATGATATGTATTATTACAACAACCTGTAATTTTGATTGTAGAATTCTTAATTTAAAACCAAGTAACAAATACGTACTGCTACGTTTCAACCCTAATGGAATAATAATAATAATAATAATAATAATAATAAAAACATTTACATTTTTTCTAACCTGGTTAGGATCAACAAGTATTTATGATCGCATACTAAAATTAAGGGACGTATATTCGAGTATTATTATAATTTTACATTAAAATAAATGCCCAATGCAGCTGGGGCGGATGGATTTGGCGGCAAGGGGTGCGTGAGAGTCGACACCAGACCACAGTCGCACCATAGTTTGGGCTGAGGTGCAAAAATTTTGGAAATATAGACCTCTAGGTGCCTGGAAATTTCACTCTCGTAATTCATGCCAAGAATAGTATAAAACAATTATTTTTCTTAATACACTTTAGGGATTGTACCGTCGTTCAAGGTTTTTGTTGTTGCAGTTATCCTGGTCATCTTCGATTACGAACGAACTACTACTACTAGCAATATTAGATAAATAAATATAATGTTTATAGAAAAGGCCGTCGTTTGCAAGTCGAAAATGGCATCGCAAGCATCCTACCCCAACCTTATTACCGGTAATTATTAACATAGGCAGTTCACACACTGACGCGAGAGGGCCTGACTCCATGATATGACGCACATCCTGTAAAAAATGTTACAATTCTGTAATGCAAAATACGCTATAGCTGCTCTTTCTTCCTTTATCTATATTATTTGAATAAATCAACTAGCCTACTGTACTAATATTGATTTGACCCAATATGTTGTATTTGATGAAAGAGACCTAGTGCAAAGGTTGCACACTACCTGCTGTTTATATTATGGCAATTTTATCCTAAAGGTCATGATTAGGCATATATTTCAGATAATGATCCGCAGGGTGGGATCCAGCGGGGGACACGGGGCCAGTTTCTGCCCCCTCCCCCACCATCAGTTACGAGTTAAAGAGAAGAAAGAAAGAGGGGGAAAAAGAAAGTGTACCCCATGAGTTCAGTGACGGTCAATAATTTTTTTGAAGAACACTGCTTTGAAAAATCATTTTTACCATATGTGAGCTGTCCTGACAAAATGAGTCTTGTGGTACAGCAGGTCAATTTTATATATTCAAGAAAATATACCTGAAGCGATATCTTGACAAAAATTGGGTTTCAATTTTTCTGATAAGTTTAATACGTATATTTCATAGTAGCAACAGTTCCGAGATGCTTTTAAGGCACATTTTGTTAAGCTATTTTTTAAAATTAATAGGAAAACCAATACAAAATTTATCAGTTGTTTGTTTTTGGAGGCGATTTTCTCTTAAGTATGTTTTTAGACATCTGAACTTTAAAATGATCTTACTCCAGTTTTACTCAACCTAGGAACATGATTTAATCACCAAAATAAAGCTTATATATTCATCTATCTAAATACATCAATAACTCATTTTTCATTTTTCGTACCACAAGACTCATTTTGAGAGTGCCATTTCCGAACGTCTTGAGGGGCCTATTCTTAAAATTGTGAAATAGTGTATATCACGTTCGCTTTCAATCGCAGTACTTTAAATGGAATTAACTGGCCAATCAATGTGGTTGATATAGATTGAACTAACTGTATTTATTACATAAACAAAATCTTGAACTGTACAAGGATTACAGACAATACTGTTTATTTTAGTACAATGTACAATGGTCATGTTTGGTTGAATAGGCTGCGTTTCTATAGTTCATTGCGTATCGTTATGAACCTTGTGGTCAGCTCTCCCTTCTCTAAAATATCGATGAAGTCAATTCTCATATATTTCTGTCTCGAGGTTAAAGTTTATCTAGTTTTTTTATCTTGTTGTAATATCATTGTTATTACCGTCATCATCAACATTGTCGTCATTGATTCATTATCATCATCAGTACTAGTATCATTAGCATCATCATCATCGTTATTATCATCATCGCCATCGTCATCAGCATCATTATCCTCATCATCATTATCAAGTCTAAATTTGTATTTCTGTTCTCCGGTTTCTGCATGGGCTAAGTTTTGGAGAAATCTTCCACACTTAAACCTCTACCTTACAATTTCTCTCAATATCCGATGTCAATGCCAGGCATCTAAAATTTATGAGATTTTGTTGAATTATTTATTTTTATATATTTATCATTTTTATACCATGAAGTACATAGACACTTTATTGTGTATTATTATTATTATTATTATTATTATTATTATTATTATTATTATTACTAATAATATTTAATAGCGATCAACTCAGTCTGTGTCTGGCGATCAGCAGACGGCGTCGCGTCGTCAACCCCTCACACACAACGGAGATGGATTCACCGACGAAGTGTGTGGCCAGGCTCCGGATGGAAAAGGTTATCAACTAACTTTTTAAGACATAAAAAGGATGCATGACGAAATACTTTGGAACGAATGGTTAATAAAATACAGATTTTTTAATACAGTATTTAAAAAGGAAAAGCGGCGTAACCAAACTTTTTCCCAACTCACCCCTCCCCCACCCCCACCCTCGCCCTCATCAATTGTTAAATATTAAAAAGTATATGTACCTCATTAACTGTTCCCGGTATTTTCGTCAAACACCCTGTTTAACTTTACTGTGCGATATGAAATCAGTAGAACAGTACAAATGATTAAATTAAAAGTAATTTCTTGCAACAGTCAGTCAATGTTTATGCAGAAACAGCATTAAACTGTAATTATGCAATTTAATAACATGTATTACTACTATCTTTCTTTAATTATTGTAATGCCTTGTCATAAAGTACTACAGTAGTTACAGAAGTCGTTACACTACGTAGATTTCGAAAAAGCTCCTCGATTGATCACCAACTCCATCGGCAAAGTTAAACCAGATGCTCCCAAAAGTTACAAAACGACATCACCTTCCTTGGACGATTATCAAATTTTATTTTCATGCGTGGTAATATTAGACTTTTGATAAATAACTGAATATTAATCGGACACTTCCGTTGTTTGTATTACAAGAGCAAAAAATACTTCAAAGAGAAAACTAATGCATAGAGCCTAGTTGTTCAAACTATAAATTGTTTTGTCAAAAAATGCAAAGAACATAAATAGCAAAATTATGTTTGCATTAAATTTGATGGAACGTCCGCCCTCTCTAGAATGGAGGGAAATTATTTCATGGAGTGTAGAAACTAACAAAAACAAACGAACCAGAGAGTTATCCAACCAATCCAGAGCCGTTAGAGAGTTTGGCCAACTGGGCTCGTGGACGCCATGTCGTTACCAAACAGCCCAGGCGCATGCGCACGTATAGCTTTAATGTTTTGTTTTGGTGACAACATGGCCGGTGTAAGTCATGTGATTGCGATCCACCCAATCACACGCGCGTATATCGAATCCCGTGAAACAGAGTTGGCCAAACTCTCTCTATCTACGGCTCTGAACCAATCAAAGATATAGCGCCGCCGCTCAGATGGAGGAAAATTGCTCTCATGGACGCCCTCATGAGGCGTTCCACTATATCGCGAACTGCCCTATCTTTCGCTATTCATTAATATCATTATCTTTGATAAAAGCCGGGCACTCACTACGCACATAATTCTACGGAGAATGCAAGGCCATTACGCGCGCACAACTGATAAACTGCCACCGACAATCAACTGCAGACGGCATGGAGTCGTCTAGCGCTCACAAGGAGCATTATGAATTCGTTTTACGACGCAGTGAGTGCCCGACTTGACTTAAAGTTAATTGTATACCAATGAACTCTAAGTTTACGAACAACCTTACAAGTTTAGGCTTACTGTAGACCGTAGACTAGGTTCTAGCGGAAGCAATCTAAGGCACATATTATATCGAGCGTTTCCATAGAAACGCTCGATCAGTGATCACATCTTTGGCAACAGCTTGTAGCGATTTTGTGGAAACCAGGCCTTATTGAATATGGTATTAAAAAAAAGTTAGTACAGGCTGGTCAGCGTTGCGCATTTTTGCCACTGTATCTATCTTTGCACATAATATTGTTCTTTGCACGAGTATCAAATGTCGTCATTTACGAATTCCTCGTCTTTAGGCATTTGGCAACTGTTCCTTCTCCTACCAGCATTCATGGACCATGACGCACTACTAACTACCAGATACGGGAATGACGTCGCCATGTTTTTTTACTTCATAGCTTAGACGGACAAGGTAAGTTTGGAAACATTTTTTTAGTATCATCGGCGGTGGTATTAGTTTCTACTACTCAATGTACACTGGACAAAGCTGGCGTTAAACGTGATATAATTGAAGTAGGCCTAATATCAGATTCACATAACAGATGTAATAAATATTTCCAGGATATCAATTCAAATATTTCCCTACAGATATTC